GTTAAAATAGCGGAGGAGTTTTACAGAGATCTGTACAGTAGCCGAGACAACCACGACCTTAATACTATAAGAACTAGCAGTAACCCAGATGACACCCCACCAGTAATGATAGAAGAAGTCAGAAAAGCTTTGGAGAGCATGCAAAGAGGCAAGGCTGCTGGTGAGGATCAGGTAACATCAGATCTGCTGAAAGATGGAGGACAGGTTGTGTTACAAAAACTAGCCACCCTGTTTACGAGTTGTCTCCTGACGGGAAGAGTACCAGAGTCTTGGAAGAACGCTAACATCATCTTAATACATGAAAAGGAGATGACAAGGACTTGAAGAATTACAGGCCGATCAGCTTGCTCTCTGCAATATACAAGCTATATACAAAGGTAATTGCTAACAGAATAAAGAAAACATTAGAATTCAATCAACCAAAAGAACAAACAGGATTTCGAACAGGCTACTCAATAATTGACCACATTCATACTATCAATCAGGTAATAGAGAAATGCTCAGAGTATAACCAACAACCACTATACATAGCCTTCATAGATTACGAGAAGGCGTTTGATTCAGTAGAAATATCAGCCGTCATGCAGGCACTGCGGAATCAGGGCGTAGATGAAGTATATATAAACATTCTGGAAGACATATACATGGGATCAACTGCTACCACAGTGCTTCATAAAGAAAGTAACAGAATACCAATCAAGAAGGGTGTAAGGCAGGGGGACGCGATCTCCCCAATGCTGTTTACCGCGTGCTTACAGGAGGTCTTCAGAAGCCTAGAATGGGAACAGTTAGGGATAAGAGTTAATGGGGAATACCTTAGTAACCTGCGCTTCGCCAATGACATTGCATTGCTGAGTAACTCAGGGGACGAAGTGCAACTCATGATTACGGAGTTAGACAAGGAGAGCAGAAAGGTGGGTCTTAAAATTAATCTGCAGAAAACGAAAGTAATGTACAACAACCTCGGAAAGGAGCAGCGCTTCGAGATAGGTAATAGTGCACTTGAAGTTGTAAAAGACTATGTCTACTTAGGGCAGGTAATAACTGCGGAGCCGAACCACAAGACTGAAGTAACTAGAAGAATAAGAATGGGGTGGAGCACATTTGTCAAGCACTCTCAAATTATGACAGGTAGATTGCCACTATCCCTCAAGAGGAAGGTATATAACAGCTGTATCTTGCCGGTACTTAGCTACGGAGCAGAAACCTGGAGACTTACAAAGAGGGTTCAGCTTAAATCGAGGACGACGCAGCGAGCAATGGAAAGAAAAATGGTAGGTGTAGCCTTAAGAGACAAGAAGAGAGCAGAGTGGATTAGGGGACAAGCGGGGGTTAAGGGTATCATAGTTGAAATAAAGAAGAGGAAATGGACATGGGCCGGGCATGTAGCGCGTAGACAGGATAACCACTGGTCATTAAGGGTAACTAACTGGATTCCCAGAGAAGGGAAGCGGGTTAGGGGGAGACAGAAGGTTAGGTGGGCAGATGAGATTAAGAAATTTGCGGGTATAAATTGGCAGCAGCAAGCACAGGACCGGGTTAACTGGCGGAACATGGGAGAGGCCTTTGTCCTGCAGTGGACGTAGTCAGGCTGCTGATGATGATGATGACTATACCGCAGAAACTATCATGCGGATGGTCGTAAATGGCTCTTGGTTATACCACGCCACATGCGATCTGATGTCTGTACGTATTTTCTCCCCGACCCACAACATGCTCACTCTGGTGTGTTTAAAACATATCACCGGATCCGCCAGCGTTACTACTGGCGTGATATGTACACCTTTGTATAAAAATACATTCGGTCCTGTTCATTAAGCCAACGACGAAAGACAGTGGCCCATTCACCCGAATTATTATAGCCTCTACCGTGCCCGGCGCGCCCTTTTGACCGCGTTAAAATCGATCTATATGGTGCCCTTCTGTACACTGCCACTGGAAATCGATGGATCATTGTCGTGGTCTACCATTTGACGAGGTATGCTGAAACAGCTCCACTACCTACGGCTGGTGCACGTGACGTAGCCAATTTCGTCTTGTGACGCTTCGTACTCCGTCATGGGGCATCACGTGAACTACTGAGTGATCAAGGGCGTGTCTTTTTATTCGAAGTTGTACAACAACTCCTTCGGGCATGCCGCACGGTGCACTGCACCTCTACAGCCTACCACCCGTAGACCAACGGTCTAAATGAGCCTCAGCTTCAACCAAACGCTAGGAGAAATGCTCGCCATGTATGTCAATTCTGACCAATCGAACTGGGATGTTATTCTTCCATTTGTGACTTATGCGTACAACACCGCGACGCAGTCAACCACAGGCCTCTCACCTTTCTTTCTTTTATATGGACTTTTGATACCATTTCGCCGTATCGTCCCGACGTCTCAGAGTTCAACCCTCTCTGAAATTGTGCACCACGCTGAAGAGTGTCGTCAGTTGGCCCGATCATTCACCTCGGACAAGCAAGCACTCGAAAAAGACCTCCACGACGGCGACCAGCAAGTCGAGACTTTTGCCGTGGGCTCGCTCGTCTGGCTCCGACTGCCCTTCCACTGCCCAGGTCTGTCCTCTAAGTTTGACCCCAAGTTTCACGGTCCTTATCGCGTGGTCGAACGTCGATCTGATGTCACATACGTGATCGAGCCGGTCACGCCATCTACAGACAGGCGACGCCTTGGTCGTGAGACTGTCCACGTGAGTCGTCTCAAGTCTTATCACGACCCACTCCTACTCTCGTCACCTTGACTTGCCAGGATGGCTCGTCTTCGTCGCCTGGGGTATTGTAGAGAAAAAGACGATTATGTGCCGCAGTGGGTCACGCCTTTAGCGAGAGGAGCCAAGCGCGAGCGTTTACCCCGAGTGCTGTGATTCCTGGGCCCGTTGCTGACGCCCGCTTTCCGCATCAATAGACCTGCTGTGCAAGTACTACTTGCGCTAATAAACCCCGTTGCACTTGGATCAATATAAGTGGGTTCGGCTGTATCAGATATTGTTGTCCTTCTAAAATCGTAGTGCAATAGTGATGAATGCAAAACCAGAAGCAGACAGGACAAGCGCTTACTCTCATTTGAAGTGTTTTGTTGCAATTCCTGAGCATATATGAACACTCATCTGAAGCTGAAAAAGGATAATGAAAGAAGAAAAATGAGCATGTGTCGTCTATGCCACACAATCCAGCTCTTTCTTAGATAACGGAAAGCGCTAACACTTCGTTGCCTGGCAAAGCTATCTCAGATGCCTCTACAATTTTTCTAGTTGTCACAACAGCGATGCAGAACTGCAGTCTGATTAAAGGGACACAATAAAACTTGATGTTGGGCTAGTAGGTCATTTGTCATATTGTAAGATAATTATGGTATTTACTTGCATAATCTTTGCACTTTTTTTGGCGGAAAACCCATGCAAAGTTGGGTGATGCGAGAATCACGCGGGGAAAACTTTCCACGAAAACGTACAGAGCAAAAAAAAAAAAACGAAGTGGCCGCAAATCGGGATTCTCACACCAGCAACTAACGGCAAGCTTTGAGAAGTACTAATTAAAACTTACCTCAACAATAAAAGCACAGGTTCAACACAAGGCAAGATTTATTTCAGACACAAAAAGTGCCAGCAAATAGTCGAGAGTTAGAATATCATACGCAAAGCTCATGGGCGTTGTGGGCGCGGCAGTAACATTCGTTTCTGCACAGGAGCCTCCAAAAGGCAAGCTTAGGACGTCAGTATTGGGCTGATAACTATTTAACAGAACCGTCTGCAGTTTCCTTCAGAAGAAGTAAAGTTTACCATCAATCCCAGTTTTAGGCACACGCAGGCCCAACGCGTCTTGGTGGCTTTCAGCTGCCGTCACCAGTAGTGAACACAAAACTCCAAAAGGCCTATCGGCGGCCCTGTTGCCGTTGTTTAGATCATGATCTATCACTTTCAACTTGAAAGCAGCCGTTTAGCTTCAGTATTGCCCCACAACGTGACAAGATTACCGACACAACATACAAAATATGCCGCAACGCGCACTTGCCACTTTGGCTTGGTTTGGATTGGATTGATTTTCCGTGCAATAATAGTACGCTTGCAGCTTAAGAGATAGCGCCAGATGGTGTGCGCTATCATCATCAGTCGCTGGAACGAGCAGACGACAGTATTTTGCAAGTTTTCGGGGGTGGGATAATTACTCGAGGAAAAAAGAAATATTTTTGTTGGACGATGGGGGGGGGGGGGGGTGCGAGAATTATGCGAGTGCGAGGATTACGCGAGTGAATACGGCAGTGCAAACTTGACTCTCGGAGACAGTCATTCATCCACCCGAGTGAGACACACGACACTCACTCGGGTGGATGAGTGAGTGTTTGCGGGAGTCAAGTTTGCGCTAGTTATCTTACGGCATGATTAAAGGGAGGAATGCATTGGGGCTTCGTGTCGGGTTTCTTACAATGGGAAGCAAGCTGTCTATCTATTCTCGATCTTACTGCTGTGTTTCAGCGATCTTGTCGCACTCGAGGAATCGCACCAACACCAGGAAGTGGCATTTGCCTGCCTGGCCTATGTAATGCTTTCCGACAAAAGGAAAATGAGGAAACTCTGCCTATTGTGCAGGAGACATCAGCCTTCTTGTGTTTCATGCAGCAAGTGGGGTTCTGCTTACTCGTCAGACAGCCCTGCTTACACCGCCTCACAAACTTGTCTGACGTTGACAATGCAACCCACTGCTCACCCTTCTTTAAAGTGTGAGGAAATTTTAAGGCAGGGGATTACAGCCATGTTTTATTTGGCTCTGTTCGTGCTGGGAACAGCGTAAAAAACGGGACGGAGAAATATTGAACACACGGCACATGCGCTGTTCAATCTTTCTCCGTCCCGTTTTTGCGCTGTTCCCCTCAGCATCATGTACCAACTGGCCCTTCATGCAACCCTTCTGCTCTATTCGTCTTTTGCGATTCTCACAACTTCGGCACCAAATGTTGAGGAGGCTTTATAGGTGACATTTATAGTATATTCTTGTGCAGTGCATTGGACCTCAGCTGAGCCACTGGATGGATGGCTCCCAGTGCTGTGAGGCACTTCGGGTTTGGACTCTGATCGTCCAGTGGATGGGCGAGGTAAGTGTTGCCATCATGTGTGAGTGCAGGGTACACTTTTTGCGACTCTGGTTTGTTTGATTTCCCAATCAACTCGATCTCTACTGAAAGTCCTATTTGATGCTTAGGCGTCAAATACACTCACTGTATTTATTCGAATCTAGGCCGATAGTTACTTCCAAATTTTTTTGTATCAAACTCTAGGGTCGGCTTATATTCGAAAATTTTGAAAAACGCGCCATTTTTCATTGAGAAAAGTGGTGCACGACTAGTGCCACCTAGACAGTATTGTAGATGTTAGTAGCCGAGCCAACACCTGGCTTAAGTACACACATGAGCCCGCCATTTTGATCATTTTGGTGAGTGTTTATGCGAGCCGTTCATCATTTCTAGTCGTGCTTTAAGTTGTCTGTGTGTGTCATAGCTCAATGGCGCCAAACAGGCGGTGTGGTCATAGTGCCGCTTTTAAAAGGAAAGTTGCCTAGTCACGGATTCGTCGTCCAACGTTCAAGCCGGGCGGGTCTTTAGAGCGATGAAAAAAAATGTGCATCACTGGAGCGGCTGCTGCTGCAGTGTGGAACGACAACCTAGGACCTTTGATTTTGTGCTCCTTTAAAAATTGTGGCACATCCAATGCGCTTGATGGCACCGAGGATTGCGCACTGTTTGAAGACGAGGGAAGCAGCGACGGCGAGTCGGAATGAACGGGAGACATCGGCAAGCACGGCATCTATTATGATGCAAATAACTACAGTCTAATCTCGATAATTCGAACTCGAAGGGGCCCGAAAATTTGTTCGATTTGAAAAAAGTTCGAATTAATGAAAGCTAAGTAAACAGAGCGCTCCCCATGCAGTGGCGCATGTGCATTGAGCTAACACAAGAGGGGAAGTTTTAGAAGACTAACTTTTATTCGCAAATCACAGGACATTCGTCATAATTGAAGTAATCGGTGATGCGCGTCTCCACACATTCGCCTTGCAGCGTGTCAATCGATTTCGCACGCAGCTTGCAAAGCATGTCTACTTCGGCTTCAGCATTCTTCTGGCCAGTGAAGGTGCGCGCGGCTATGTCTAGTGCCGACACTCTCTGAAGACAACAACGACTGCATCTCTGCTACCTCCCTCAGTGCCAAAGTCGCAGCGTGGCCAGCACGTGACGAGAAAGGAGCAGTGCCTCCACGCAGAGAGAAGCAGATCGGCATTTGAGGAAAAAAACCAACATTCTACGGCAGCTTTTTTTTTGCTCTCTTCGCGCGCGTTGTTGAAAGGAGAAGGTTATGTGGCAGGGACGGGAAAGGGGAAAGCGTGGCACCGGTGCTGAGAGAGAGCATCACTCCATGGCAGTTTTCTTCTTTTTTTCTCTCTCTCTTTGCGCACGGTGTTGGAAAGAGAAGGGTCTTTACGCAGCAGGGGCAGAAAAGTGAGAAGCGTGGCACAGACGCGTCGCAGGTCGGCATTTGAGTGAGAGCAAACATTCCACCACAGCCTTTTCTTTCCTTTTTTTTTTCTTTCGTGCGCAGCGTTAAGGTGTCGGAGGTGCTGCTGCGAGATTGGACGGGGTGCTGAGAGCTTTTTGGGGCGCGGTATGTTCGAATTAATCGTCGCAAGTGCTTGGGCTTTCGAATTACCGCACGTTTTTCGCCCATTGGAATACACATAACTTTGACGGGACCTAATCGTGAGTTCGAATTAACCGGAAGTTCGAATTAAACGTGTTCGAATTAATAAGATTGGACTGTACAAGCGGCTCAAAAAAAAAAAAAAAGAAAAACGTCGATAATACACACAGAACACAACTAACGGCTGTATGTCTCTCGAGTTATTTTCTTCATGAACCGACTGCACTGTTTCAAATAAATGGTGTCTCTTTGTGAACGCTGTCTTCGCTGTTTCGGTCGGCCTACATTCAAGGTAAATTGTTTTTCCCGTGCTTCAGAATTTTGTGGGGTTGGCCTAGACTCGAGTAAATAGAGTATAACAGCACCGTCAAATCGCAAGCAAGCACTCCAATACAGTGTACTAGAAAAGGGCAGTGGGCTCACTCGGCTCCCCTTGACGCAGCTGGTGTTGCATAGGATGGTGCAACGGGCAACTCTAATAGAAGCTGCACTTGCAGAAGCTGCTCACTGCTGGTATCACGTTAGCGTTGCGATGCGCATTTATGTATCATTTATAATAAACTTTCTTTTATTAACTAGCCCGTGACGGTATTGCAAGCGTATGTTTCTCTCGGTCCGCCTTTTCTGTTCATTTTGCGATAGCCAAAAGTTAGCTGAAAAAAAAAGGGGGGGGATGACCTTACTTTTAGGTTTGGCGATCTTATGCTTCCAATTTCCCACGGGCTGGGTGCCCTTCCAAGCGACTACAACTTCTTTCTGCCAAGCATCAGGCTTGAAGTGTGTTTGTACCTATTTGACCAGTAGGTACCTGACGTCAGCAATTATGTGCCTCCCACAGCAGTGGGGGACACTCAACTATTTAACCAAGGTTGTGGCGGGTTGAATTAGGCCCAGAGGTCTTCGCAGAACATTATAGGGCTTCCTTTTGAGATAAGTACCCAGAAACAACCGAGTGCCTGGTTGGTGTAGTCCTCTACCCATTGGGAATGGAACCCGGCACTACCTGCATTAGAAGGGGACGCTCTAACCATGTAGCCACCGCTGCGGTGGCTACATGGTCCTTTCACATAAATCTTCTTTTCCCTCTATAATGTGCACATGGTCTCCGAGCCCATAGCGTGGCTCGGAATGGAGCTCGCACACTGCACTGGTGTCTCTAAAGGGCTTGTATGCTCTGTGCAGATTTTTCTTCCATTCCTACTGCCTATTCTAATCCTTCGGGATGCTAGACAATGGGCCCACCCTTCACGAACACATAGCCTGTTTGGCACCCAGGCGCGAAGCAGTGGTTTTGTCGATGCTGCGGCACGGCTCAAGCTATAAAAGACATGCTAATTTCTTACATGCTCTGCCCCGCTAAATGCTGCGGGAAACAAACTTGGAGCGACAAGGTCCACAGAGGTAGACGAGCGCTGACTCGCAACAAGAAGTTTTATTTGAAGAGCTCAGGAAAGTGAAGAAATCAAAGTTACATAGTGTATCACTTGATGACACATGTGCTGAGCAGATATGCGAACTTTTTTTCCGTGAGATATTGCCACGTTCCGTCCTCTAATTTTGTTATCGCGTCGTTTCACTGTCAATAATTCTCAGCGCAAACCACACCTACACTGTTCGAGAAGCTTTGGGACGGCAGGAGATCATTTTGTTAAGATTACGCCCACTTTGTGAACATCACAGATTATTCTAGAACTTACTTCGCCGCTAGCGATAACACTAGAATATTTGATGGCAAGTGTCTAATTGCCGACACAATTCGGCGCTTACAGTTGATTGACGGCCAATGCTCTGTTCTCTGCTATCAGTGCCAGTGTCTTACTTTCCTTTTGCGGGGCCACAAGTTCGGTTTGAATAAACAGTTTCTTCTTCGACCTGGAGTCTGCTCCCTTCGTTCACGTCACAACCCCATGACAATATATCGAAACCTTCACCGGCGCGTGCTTCATCCACTCGTTTAACGTGGAAAGTCTCTATCACTTCACTGGTTACTTGGGTTGTGTGTTTCGACGAAATTTCTTTATCGGGCAAAGACAGGTGAACAGCCACACGTGCTGCAGTGTGGTGAGAGATGCGAAGCGTTTGGATTCTTGAATGAATTTCCGTGCTCTCTTAAGGAGGAGGCTACTCTGGAAATAGAACTTTTTAAATTTTTAAGATATCTGGATGACAATTTTAGGGCATGTTTCCTACACTAAAACAAGAGCAACTGCAAAGTTTCATGAAGCTGTGTTTCTTAGTTCCAGAGTTATTGAGATTTAACTGGGCTGTTCACGTGAGTGCCTGAGGAAGAGTCGTGAGAAATATCAGGACATTGTAGAAAGCTGAAATTCGTTGTGATCATTCTTTCATAGATATTCCAGGGTACTACAGAGCCATTTAAAAAAATTTTTTCTCCAAAAAATGTTCACGCAACTTTCGAACTTGATGTAGTTAGTAATTATCAGATTCATCAAATCCTAATCATTTATTATAAATTAACGTAACAAATTAAAAAAAGAGCTTGTCAGGTCCGGCAAACTAATTGATAAATAGGAAAAAAAAAAAAACAGGTATACTAATCTGGTGAGTGGTCCTTCCAAGATTTAGATTTCCTCAGCACCACAACCAGTGAAAAAATTCATTATGAGAAAATGGGCCTAAACAGTTCAGCACTTACGTTTTCTTCAAAAAGCTTCAGCAGAATACTAGAAGTGTTTAGGCTGCACTCTTTTCTTCTTTTGACTCATCTACATCTTCATCTTCTTTTGATGTTGGTTGGTTGGTTGCGAAACTTTATTGAGGTCCTGCAAGGCGCGCGTCAGCGCGCAGCGGGCGACTCCCACGTCGGGACCGTTAGGGCAAGCCTATCGGCCGCTCCGCGGGCCTGCTGGACGGCCCAAAGTTGGTCGGCCAGGAGGGAGCTGCGTAGGGCCGCCTCCCACCTGACCGATGTAGTGTTGGGGTTAGTGTACATTGCCTTGCACTCCCGGAGCATGTGCGCCAGCGTGGATACATCCCCACATGCGGGGCAAGCGTCATTGGGAAACACGTCAGGATAAATAGCGTGAAGGGATCTCAGGTTAGGGTACGTGTCGGTCTGCAGTAGTCTGAGCGTAAGGGCCTGTGGGCTATTAAGATTTGGATGAGGGAGTGGATATAGTCTCCGCGCGAGGTAAAAATATTTTGTTATTTCGTTGTACGTGGCAGGCGCGTCCCTGTTTTCCGCAACCCCGTTGGCCCCGAAGCGTTGCCCGGAACCCACGCGGTCGGTTAGTGAGCGCGCGCGGTCTCGTGGGCAGACTCGTTGAGGTTGGGGGGAGCGCCTTGGACCTGTCCAACATGTGCAGGAAACCAAATCAGTACGTGGTGCTTGATGCCGTCGCGGCCACCAGCTTTGGAGCACGCTCAGGGCTTTCTTGGA